CTTTGTCAAAGTCAAATTGATAAAGAACATATGTTTGGTTGATCTGTGTGGGCTGTTGAGATACTACAAAAAAGATTCTTGATGCCTCCAATCAAATATTTTTAGGATTTTTTTCCATGTGATTTAGAGTATCTAATAATAGATTTTCCTATTTTTTTTTTTATTTTTTATTTTGCAGCAAAAATAGCAATAACATAACAACAAATATTGTTTTCTTGCATGCACCAGGTCACTACAATCAACTGACAAAACATGAATCAATTAAAACACACTTTTAGATCTTTGCGCCTGAAGTGTCAGCAGATCTGTGCGTGAGTCATCATTTGTTCTCATTAGTGTTGCTCGGAGAAATCAGTAGCGCTTGAGAACATCAGGTAATTTGTATTCGCAAATAAGGATACTCGACCCAACAACGGCGTGTCATTTATAAAACGGCAGCAAGTGCATGTGTGTGTTTCAATATATCCACTCCTGGTACAGAGGCAACTGCTGCAATGGATAAACATTGCCGAGCATCGTTAGCTCAACACTGCTCTCCAGTGGATAGAAAATAAAATCAAGTACAAGTAATCTCATGAAGAAGTTTGCATTAGAGCTGCAGCTAAAGTTATTACATAATATTTGAACACATTTAGGTTTTCTTGTGACAGCTGGGTTCAGAAATGTTCACACCTATGTGCAGCTAATTTTATTTCGAAATAATTTGAAAGTCATTGCAGGTGGCTCAAACCAATCTTGAACCCTCCTCAATTATGTTGTAGGTATTTCCAAGCAATCTTAAGATCACCAGAGTTGTATAGTGGCACTGTCAAAAAAGCTCTGCTCTGATAGAAAACAGTCAAGGGATATGTCAGGGTCTTAAAACAACACTAATGATAAAATGATGTTTCAAATGGTCCAAATCTGTCTACTTCATCTCAAAAAGAGTATTCCAGCAGATTAAACCAAAAAAGTTGAAGTGGCTGCTAAGGTGGGGGACACAATGGGATTAGGTATGTACAATGTGATTGGATGTGGACAACAAAATAATAGCAGAGAATGCAGTTTTGCACATGGAAATGGGCTGGGATGTTTTAAAAACTGCTCACAGAAAAACACCGATGGAAGAATCAAACGTGTTGGTCGCAAATGCTCAAAATTCAGTAAGACTGCAACAGAAAATGTACTTTTTTTTCTACACAAATTTGAGTTGTTAACTGGTCTCCCAGTAGTTGCAGCCTAGTGAGATACCACCTTTATCAAATTTCTGCTGTCTGGGACATTCACTTATGAGTTTGTTATTGGGAGCTTTGTTCCTGATGTTCTCCTTGATATTAATCATTTCATCCTGTGTAATAATAATAATAATTTTATTTGAGGCAAAAGCCCAAGTTTGAACATGTGTGTTTTCAGCTATGATTTAAAAGAGGGAAGAGAGTCTGTATTCCTGATGACACGAGGGAGGGAGTTCCAGAGCCGAGGAGCACAGTGACCGACGGCTCTGTTCCCCACGGTGACAGGACGGGCAGAGGGAACAATAAGATGAGTGGCAGATGAAGATCTGAGGGAACGGGAAGCAGTGGAGATGTGAAGCAGATCACACAAGTAAGGAGGGGCAAGGTTATGGATACACTTGAACGAGAGAGTTAAAATTTGGAAATGTATTCTAGCTTCTATGGGCAACCTGTGAAGCTGTTGCAGAACCAGGGTGATGTGTTCTCTGGATGGGGTACAAGTTATGACCCGAGCTGCAGAGTTCTGAAGGAGTTTGAGTTTATGGAGAGGCTTATTTGTGAGACCAAAAAGAAGAGTTGCAATAATTGATCCGGGATGTGATAAGGCTATGGACAAGGGTGGCAGCAGCATGAGGAGTAAGAAAGGGGTGGAGTTGGTTAATGTTGTGTGTGTGAAAATATGCAGACTGTGTGATACAATTAATATGAGATTGAATTGGGAGCGTACTATCAAGTCTGACACTTTACCTGAGTGGAAGCATGAACATGGGAGTTGCCAATATTGAAGGAAAAAACTCTGAGATTCAGTTAAAGTGGAGGTTGTGTAACGAACCCCGTATAATGGACCAAAATCACCACCACAAAAAATA